CACGGGATTATGTTCAAGCACATGACCTGGACTGCGCACTGCTTAGTTTGACTGGCAGCCGGCATTTTCTTATCACTTCTGGACAAACTCGCCGGCTTTTTTCTGTCCGGCGAGCGGTTTCACAGACTGCAAAGCAGATTCGGACAAAGCTCCACAGTTGACATAAGCTCTATCCCTCGTTTGGGATGGGCAAGCTCAATCGGACCATTGAGGCTCTCCTTAGACGCCTTGAATGTCAGCTTGGTTCTTGATATGACCAGGCGGTTGCTAAGTGCTAACCTTCCACACCTCCGATGTCCGAAGGAGATGGACAGCGAGTGAACGTAGCGATCTCTCAGGACTCAATCGGCAGACTCGTTGCACTGCCTCCGAATCTGACCTTTCATCTTGCGAAAAATGTTTTCTTGTTTGGGGGGGCGGGTTAATCTTGAGGTGGATGCATACAGAACCCCTTCAACGGTGGAAGTCTTTCTCGTTTGAAGGGGGAACCCCGATTAAGCGGTAAGCCGTTCCAAGGCTAAGCTTGAAGCTTGACCATTGGCTTGGCTTACCTCAACCACTTCGATTGGAGACTCGCAAAAGAATGGCCCTCTTTGGGCGAAGAGAAGCGCCTGGGTCTGCAAAGCAGGCCCCGTGCCAATGGAAATAAAGAGGCAGTCTTTGGTTCCACCTGGAGGCTTTGCAGAGTGGCTGTTCCCCATGTGTGAGCTTTTGGACCCTTCCTTCTTGTGTCGCCTATTAAGGTGCGTTAAGGTGATGGCCCCCCCAACTTTGACAAGCCTCCACCAGCCTTGGGTTACCCCCGAGCTCCACTTCGTTTTGGGGTCAATCGGAAAAGCTGAAGATGCACTCAGAGTTTCATGTCCATGCCAGCAGGTCGTCGAACAGTTGGAGCCATTACGTTCAATGGGTGAAGCATGGTATACGCGGTATACGGCACAAGCTGCAGGCCGGCAACATGCATACCTTCTGATTCCCTTCAAGAGGTCATGTGGCTCAATTTATGAAGTGCCAGCTTTAGTTGTAGACAACAACGAGGTTTTGTTTGGGCCACTTCTAAGGCGGAGGTTCGCCTTTGAGAACGCAAGCCACCCTGAAGCTGTTTCTCGCCAACCCCAAACCACTAGTTCCCAAGGAAGAAGGGTTCACCAACATGACCAAGTGATATCATTTTGGTGAAAGACAATGACAATACATGAACTTTCCAGCCACCTCCCTGAAAAGCAGAAGTGGTCGGCGAAGGGGCCGGTCCCTTCCGTAAAAGTACAGGCAGCTTCACGTACACGTGCCAGGTTGTTGGGACTTCATACTTTTTGGGAAGGCGCACTTCTGCAGTTTCCATAAACAGTTGTTGTAGACGTTTCGGGCCACTGAAAAAGAGAGAGAGAGAGAGAGAGAGAGCCACAAATAAGTGTCTTTGTTTTTGTGGTAGCCTTTTGGGATTAATGCGAAACCAAAGGGAAACCACAATAACAAAGCCTCGATCAAGTCCGGAGGCGTTTTGTCGTGCTTTCCTTGCCTTGACAACAGCAGCACTCTCGGCTCGCCATGATTCGGGCGGGCGGCTAACAGGACGCATCCTCAGTGCGAAGGGCATCGGTTGTCATGGCTCTACAAGTTCAGACCCTTGGCGACTGCCCATATTAATTCACATGGAAGGCCCCAGAAGGTGCCTCTAAACATGATGGGGTGAGGGGCGCATTTGCCCTACTCAACAGATCGAAGGCACCAAACCCTCGGGTTGTACGGAACCTTCAGTTTGTGTCAAACTAATTTGCGGGGGCTCGAGTGTTTACTTATGGAACCACAGGGACTCCCGCTTCCCTTTGGGGACAAACATGCATAGGGGCATGTGAGGCCGAATTGTGAAGCACATATATTTGAGGCGAGTCCCGCAGAGGCACATGCTCAGTCTCAGAAGGTAGGGCTTCCAATCATGAAGGCCCTTGCGCTCATGAAGGCCCAGAAGGCCGGGCTAAGTCCCCAGAATGCGAGTGGGAACCCGGTTTTTTCGCCCCCAGACCCTGAAATGGAGGTCAAAAAGCAGAACCAAAAACAGGTCTATCTCACCAAAACAAAGCTGCAAGAGTCAGGGCCTAGAAGGTCATAGGGCCCCGAGCGTTAGCGGGTTGAAGCTTGAAGGCCAAGGTCCCGTTAAACCATTGTAGATGGCTCGCCTCCGTGGCGAGCCGGTGAAAAGAGAAACAGATGAGCCGAAAGGATTCCAAAGGACCCCCAAGAAACTCAAAGGCATATCTCAAGCGACCCTTAGGAAAGCCCCCACCGCTGGCGTTAAAAATGGCCTCGATGTTATTTTCAGGTACCTTTTTATTCATTTGGGGGACTAGTGTGATTGCCCAACCCTTGGTGTCAGTTTTAGAATGGGGTCTCCCCAGCCCAGAAATCTCCCCAGAGCCTACCTGGATCCCTAGAACCTGCCCCAAAACGGCCAAAACCTGGAATTGGTGGATCGACCCGCTGGACAACAACCCTTCCAAACATGGAGCCGGACAGCTCTGTTGCCCAGTGGTGCCCTTTTTTTTCTCCTTAAAAGGGAAGGGTTCCCTTTTAAACTCAACCAACCAAAAAAGGATGCCATCTTTTCCCGTGGAAACCCACTGGGCATCTGAGCCAGAGGCTCCAAAGCGTGTGGGTTGACGTTGCTCACTTGAGGTGCCAACCAAGGATGGACCCCCAGGTTCCATGCGCGCAAACCCCAAGAAAGTCGCGGAGAGGAACCCTGTTTTTTGGGCCGAGGTCTGAGCTGCAGGCGGGGAATCGTGTTTTGTGTGGTCGTCTTTTTTTTGGCCGGGGGTTTCGGGGACATTGGGCCATGGTTCAAAGCCAATGGGATCCCATTTTGGGGTTTCGGTTCACCACCCATTTTAGAACCTATTTTAGTGGGGATTGGGATGTTCACTGGGGGTACGGGGTTTTGACCCATGACCATTTGGGTGTGTATTAAAGGGGAACCTCAAAGAGTGCTTTGTGTAGATGTCCCTTTTAAACAACCCCATTTTGGGGTATCCTCAAAAGGCACGCCCACTTACTTGTTGCCCTGGATTTGTGGACTTCAACATGGACCATTTTGCCATTTTTGGTGGTAGAAAATCCGGGCTTCTCGAATATTTCGACATTCTTATGGTGTGTGTCCGCAAGTTGCTACAAAGGCACGTATATTTCATGATTCATGGGCATACGGAATGGGTATGGGTTTTGGGTACTATCGGCTTCTGGTGGTGGCTAGGGTTCGGGTCCCGTGCGGATGAGCTCTGGCACAGGAGATACTCCCTGGTGCTAGACACGGGGGTGTCCAACGGAGCCAGGTGGCAGGCTCCAAGTTGCTGGTAAAGTGTGGGTTTTCCATGGATGCCGCAAAAAAGAGCCTGTGTTTGCAAAGTCCAGGGCCTTTGCGTGCTGGAAGGTTCAGCTAGCCCCCTCCCCGGAGGTAAGTTTTTCCAGGGCTTACACTCGTGCGGCTCGAAATTCTTAGCTCCTATGCGCGTTGCATTTCGAGGAACTGCGGAATGTGCAAGACCTAGAAGGGCCAGCAAAAGGCTTACGTTGTTGTTTTGAAGGGTAAATGTCAGTCAGTCATGACCGGTAGGCAGCTACGGTAGGCATTGTATCTTCAAGTGGCATCTTCTGCAACTAGCAGTTGTCTTGATTGCTTCTAGGTGGTCTTCTAGGCAAATCAGAAACAGAGGCCTGTCCCCTTGCGCCCACATTTGGGTGACTTTACTGGCAGGGCGAGCTTTCCGAATTCGGCAGAAATTAGATTCCATTTTGCCCCAGCGGCCCCTTTCAGCGGCCGTGTAAGTTCTCAGACTGGAATGGGGCCATTGGGAAAAAGCGCATTTGCTGCACCTGAGAATGACCATATTTGCCTTTTCCCAGGGAACCTCTTAAGTTGGTGGTGGGTTGTGGGGGTGTATAGGTCACTTGCTTGAAAGCTGCTGGATTCTTGCGGATGGAAACTGCGCGGACAACGGGAGGCCCCTTTGGGTGAGCTGCTCAAGGTACGGGGGCGGGGGAAGGGTTGGAGCTGCGAAAAAAGTAAAGGAGGATGTGTGTGTGTGTGTGGCGTGCTTTGTATCTTGATGGTTCCCTTTTCACCTTGGCTTAAGGGAAGCAAAGGACAACCACCATTTGGGGTTCCCCTTGCATCCCTAAGCATCACTGGACTTGTGGAGGCGTTTTGTGGAGACGTATTGATCTCCATTGGAGGTTGGCCTCAAAAAGCATGCCGGTCTGAGAGCCCAAAGTCCTTCATGGAAATGGGGGAGGGGGATATGCTGCATTTGTTTCGGCAAGTTATAACGAGCCCACTTGGGGGGAAGACAAGCGCGACCATAGTGAAGGTCCTTTGCTTGAGGGGTTCAAACATTGTCCATTTGTTTAAATACAGTTGCCTAGACTTATGGAGGACACTCAAGCATGTTGTTTCGGGCGTTTGCTTTGCTTGGGTTGCTTGTTGGCGGGCTCCACGTACCGAAGGCCAATGCTCATTTCAATGGCATTTCATGCAGAGGTCAAGCTTTTACCATTATGCACGGAGCAACCTTGTTTGAGTTCATGGGGTAGCGGGTGATTGTTTTCCACAAGCACTGGCGACCAACAAGGCCTCCCCCAAGAGCAAATTCGGTCCAGACATTGTGTCGGAATAGTGTTTAAGCAGTTTTGCGCCAGTGTCCCTGTCGGAAGGGGGAAGGGGAGAGGTGAAGGAGTGCATGAGTTGAGTTCTGTGATGAGATCTGGTCAAGGGAAGAGAGCACAGAGGTAGGCTATAGCTTCCCATCCTTTGCCTGCCACTCTGACTCCGGCTACTCGACCTTTTGACCTTTTAGTTTCCCGCTTTTGTGTTCATTTTGATGGCCCCAAAAGGTTCACCTGTTTTGTGTGAGTCCTTTGGGCTGAGTATGTCCCCTGGATCTGGAGTCAGTTTTAGCATCAAAGCCCCGTGGGCTTTGGAAAGCCCTCGCACAGGCCGCGCGGCCGCGATGGCTAGCGCACCAGTGCGGGTGGCGGGCAAGCGGGGCTTCTCAGGGGATCTTCGGGTCGCGAATTGCCTGTTTCCTCAGGTTACAGCTGGCTTCAGTTTGTTTCGTGGGGGCTGTCGGGACAGCCGAGGCTATAGGTTGTACCCCTCCGGTGCTGTCTCTTTTGAGGGGCGTTTTTTTAGAGCTTACTTGCAAGCAGGTTGGGAGCCGTGAGCACAAGCGTCAAAAGGCGGGTTATGTTCTAAATCATGGGCTCTGATGTACTTAATCCCTCACCTAAGGTTTTAGAACGGGGTTGTGGCGTACTTTTTGAAGCAGCGTGCAGTCATGATCATAGTTGAAGAATGTGCTCTAGTTGACTCCTTGTAATACACCCCGGGCAAATGATCCAAATGTGGTCCCTACAGTTGCGAGGCGCTTTCTAGGAAGAAGTGCCCAATGTCGTGGGTTTAGCCTAGAGGGGACTGTCCTAAAAACGGCATCCTAAGTTGGTATCCTAGCGCTTGGTTGTTTAACAAAGCGACAGGGTCCTGGGGGCTGAAGCTGAACTCCTTGTCTTGTTGGTTCCCAGGGGAAAACCAGCAGTTGGAATGATCCAGAGGGGACCTCCGTTAAAATCCATACCCGGTTGGTTGGGGGTCGTTCCCTAATTCCCCACGCAGATCCAGTGATTAACTCACTTGTCCAAAGCGAATGGACCGGCTCTGACCTTTGGTTTATCCCCTGATCCATTTTTTGTCAATGGTCCAAAAGGTGAGGTCGGGAATACCCTATTGATAGGCCCCCTTTGCTTGCGGGAAAACGGGTTGCCCTTGAGGAAGCACCCAGCGTTACCTTGAGGCTAGGCGGGCTCAAAATTTGACTTGGGAGAGGTGAGCCTTAGAGCCCCATGGCTAGTCGCGGCAGCCTTTGCTAGCCACGCTCGAGTCGTTCCAATGTCGGTAGGAGTCCATGTATATACCCCTTAAATATGTTATAATAATATAGATATGCTATTGTGTCAGAGTCATAGTGTTCAGTTGGCTTGTCCCCGTTCAATTGCCCCTTGAATGTGCTGAGCTATTTATTCCAGGAGGTCAAGCCCCAGCGTTCGAGCATATTGAGCTACTTCAGGGGCAGAAGTTCGAACTTTTTGTACATGTAAATCTGCAGAGTTGTCACGTGAAACAACTCTTCATTCTACCAGATCCTTTAGACTTGTTCTTTCCGCAGCGGGTTCAACATCGGATCAAGCTTCGCCATCACCTATCTCTGGTCGAGCTATTTATGCTTGTGAGTATGGATGCTCCCCGTTGGGATTGGTTGGATGCTTGGTTTTATGTTCCGCTCGGACACATAGATTTACATCCGAATGCCCTCTAGCCTTTGACAACCAGAGGTTCCTCGCTCCAAGAGTTGGCTCTTCGAAGGAGTTCGAATCAGACCGAGTATGACAGCTGTTTGGTAAAGCATTGGTTTCAAGGAGCGCCTGCATGCGCCAAGTGCCCTTGATAAAGGAAGCGTTTCAAATTAAATTCTTGCTCGAAAGTTGCGAGCATAGCTCCGAATCAAGGCCTGCAGCCTCCATTGTCAACCCTGTGAAGAGAAAGGCGCGAGTCTCTCGGGGGGTTCTGAATGCCGAACAGGGTTCCAGCTAGTTTTCCCCCGGTGTTAAACCCTTGAACATGGCCCCTGGAGAGGTTTTTGGAACATTCCGAAAGCCCAAGCTGAAGTGAGTTTCCTTTTCAGACCCTTGGTGTTGTGGAGGCTATGTGGGGTTGGGTTGGCGGGGGCAGTGATGCTTCCTTTTGCAAGGACTTTGGTTGCCACCGTTACCAACAAGGTTTTGTAGCGGGGACTATGGCCATGGCATACGCAGGGAGCTTTGACCAGTGCACATATGTCTAGCAAGCGCAAGGGTGCCAATTGCAGGCGCACTAATCACGGCCATGGCACATAGGTGTCCTGCTTGACGGTGATACTAGTTCGTCCTTCTGTTACGCCGGGTTACGATGGGTTCCCACATGCTTCCAAGAGTTGCCGAACCCCATCGAGCTCCCTGCATTTCTCCTGGTGTCTCAACAACCGCCTTTTGAACACTTTGTTTTTGGGGTATTGTCCAACTTGGTGAGGCGACATTTGCTGAAGGGGCCCCGGTTTCAGGATTTTGGACATGCCCTGTCGGATGGTAGAAAGTCACTCGACCCCAGCGAATCGACTGGATCCCACCTGGGCTTCCGTGTTTGAGTGTGTCTGGACGATGCCCAAAGAGAAGCCAAAAGGAAAGCTACTCTTTTCAGAAACACCCATGTGGGCGGCCGTTTTGAATCAAGATTCCAGAAGGTTAACATGGGATTGTTTCTGGGCGCTGGCAGGTGGGCTGTATAAAGAAAGAAGCCAAGCGTATGCGGGACCCGTGGCCCTATGCTTGGAAACGCCAGGTGGGGTTGAGTGAGTGCGTCAGTGTGCCAGTGAGCAAATCAGCCGAGTCAGCGATCCAGCGAGTCAGTGAGTCGGTGACTTAGTGGGTAGGTTGGTGGGTGGGAATGATTGATGGAGGGTGGGAATGAGTGATGGAGGGTGGGAATGAGTGCGTGAGTCAGTAAGGTGGTGAGTCACTGACCCATGGCTTTGCCATACTTTTGGCAGGCAAATGTCATGGAGATGCTGTCCTACGCAGCTGCCTCAGCTCAAGTGCACTCATGCGGAGGTCTTTTTCGCGGCGCCCGGTTTTGTTTGACTGCGTGCCATGATCAAAACTGGCATTTAGCCAGAACATGTCCGGCTCTCTGTTGTGTTTTTGCAATCCTCAAATGCGTAGTTTTAAGTTGCCCCACCGGACACCTACACCGGACATACAGGGCCTGTGAACTTAGGCTACGGGGCAGAATCAAACATGTTGTTTTGGTTTTGGCAGAAGCTAAAGCATGTTTTACTTGGGGACGGTCATTAGTTCATGACTAAGGAATAATAGTATTGCAACAGTTCCTGGTACTGGACTGACTTCAAAGTACCTGTCCCTTGGAGGGGTTGAGACACTAGTGGCTTGGTAGTCTTGGTAGCACCCGCCCCAATTGATTTTCGGTCCGTGCTCCGGGGGGGACAGGGGGGGACCCTGGGCTTGTTTGCTCTGGTTGGACTTCTGTGGTGCTTGCAGGCCATTCAGGGGTAGCTTCGACATCCCTTTGGAGAATCCATCCGCTGCTTTGTTTTGGAAACCGCCAAAATCCAAGGGAAACGGCTTGTTGTAACAACCGATGATTGAAACGCATGGGGAACTGACCCATAGAGACCAGAGACCAACGGCAGCCCCACCAGGTCGGGATCAGATAGCGCCAACCGTCTGGCTTTTACAGTTTTGTGAGAACTTCTGCTTTCTGTGGAGCTTAGGTCGGCTTCGATTGGGATTTCCCAGCGTTTGACTTCCCCCTTGCGGGTGTGGCTGGGACAAAAGGAAAGCAAAAGTGCAATAGCCACAGGTGACAGGCAGGAAACCAAGACGCCGTTTCGGAATCTAGTCCTTTGGCCTCCTATCCAATCAGCTGACAAGACTGGCCGTTGTCAAAACCATTTTGGGATCCCATTTTGGGGTGGGTGAACCACCCATTTTAGAACCTATGTTAGTGGGGATTGAATCGGATGTTCACTGGGGGTACAATTTGAATTTTGACCCATGGCCTGACTTGGGGACAAGGAAGGACAACCCGGATTTCCGACAACGTGCTGGCTCCCAGTACAGAATCCGCTGGGGTATTGGGAGTGAATCTAGGGATTCCCATTTTCCATTTGCCCAAACTATTTAATTTACTGGATATCTCACGACTGGACATGTTTCTGTTTTGTTTTTTCTTGTGTTTTCTCATTTTTCTTCTAGGGGGCTTAACCAAATGGAAGGCATCTTTGTCTCAGAAGCCCTGGATGTCGCTTCAGGTGAACAGCCTTGGCATTGACCACATCCGGGAGGCTGACATGGTATGGATCGCCGAGGAGGCGAACTGGTAATTTGGAGTTCGCCATTGGCCTTTGGGTTGCCTTTAAAGGCAAATGTGTGTGTGTGTGTGTCTTTGTGTGTGTGTGTCTTTGTGTGTGTGTTTCTGTGTCTCTGTGTCTCTGTGTCTCTGTGTCTCTGTGTGGCTGTGTGTGTGTGCCTCTGTGCTCTGTGTCTGTGTGTTTGTGGCTTTAGGGTGCCCTCTTTTGGGGTTGCTTTTTTACGGGAATCCACCGGAGATCCATTTAAGGAGCCTTCCTTGGACAAAAGGTTAAATACAAAGAAGGTGTCTGCTGACGCATTCTGAAGGTTGGATGGGAGGCCCAAGCCGCTGGCTTCTTCGCCGAAAGATCTTCGGACTCAAAGGAACCCAGGGACCAATTTTCTGCGGGCCAAGGGGACTCGGAACACGGTTTGTTCAGCGGCACCCTCAAAACCTGTTTGGCTTGGTGGGTTGGTCAAACAGCGATAAAGGGACTCCGACTCCTTCTTTTTACCAGGGTGAGTGGGCAGCTGGGACTCGTGCGCCGAACCCCTTTCCTCCTCCAGGATCTCAGCGAGGAAAGTGGAATATATTTGCCTGTGTTGTGGCGAGCTCAGCTCGGGGCAAACGAGCTCACCATGATGGATCTGTTCAATTGTTGGATTTGGAATCATTGCAAACTGTGCATGTGCATGTGTTTGTGGGCCATGCTGGGGTGACTTCTTTCTTGCGAGAGGTGCGAAAGGTGGACCGCTTGTACATATGTTCCTTCCCTTTTTGCTTCTGCAAGATGTTGACTGGTTCTTATATCTGTTCAATGCTGACTTCGAATGCACATGCACTAGCATGTTACGACGTGTATGGCACTGCATTCAATGGGCACCCATAATCAAGCACCGCCTGACATTTTCCAAAGAGGGACTCGTTCACTTTTGTTCGGAAACACCCGTATTGATCAACCTTGCATAATCTGCAAGTTTGATTCGTCCGGGCGTGGCTGATCACTGTTTTTGTATATTAGACATATGTACATATATCCATGCATCCTTGAAGCCCTGCTTCGCTAGGCTTACAATGCCTCGCTGCCTCCTGGGTGGACAGAGCACGTGGATGACACAGGCCAGGCATGCCCCGCTCCGGGACAAAGGGGGGCGGTTAAACAGAGTGAAATCATGAGCCCAGTTTTGGCTGCTCTCCGAAGGTGTTTCAGTGTTTGCCTTGCTTGCAGTGAATGGCTCGTTTTAGTGGAGGAGGTCGGAGAACCAAGTTTTTGGCTGACATACCGGGGCTTGGGTTGTGTTTGGCAGGTGCACATGTGAGGCGCCTTAAAGTTGGCGAGAGCCAGCCTGCACAACTTCTGCTTGAGGGGATGCAGCCAATGATCACTGAGCGCTTGCTTTCCAGCAGCAACGGGCCCCCATGAAGGTACTGCACTTGCTAACGCTAAGGTGCCAAGGGTGTGGGGACATGCTTTCCGTCACAATCCAAGGAGCAGCAAACATGCTGGCGAGAGATGCAGGGAATGAGAAATGGAATGACCCCCAAAAAAAACCATCCCTTGTGGGTTCCTTGAAAGGGACAGCCTGGGTTCATTCCCTCATTCCCTACCTATCGCGCCAGCCAGCAAAAGGAGGTTGTTCAAACCCTCAATTGGGCTGCACCCTGCATGTCCCATCCCATCTGGGCTTGGCCAGCCCGTTGGAGGGGCTACGTTCAACGCAGGATCCTAAGTTGCACTGATCTACATCTCAGTTGTTCAGTGGCACCCTTTTTCCTCTTTTTTTTGGGTGGCTGCCCCACTAAAATGGTCTTCCCAAAAAAGGGTTCCCTTTTTTTCCAGGGTCACTGAACACCTGAGACATTCTACATGACCGCGAAGAAGGTGTATTGCTCCGAGTTCCAAGTGAGACATCTAGTTGCATGCTGCAAACTGAGGGTTCTCAAAATGGGGTGCCCAACAGGGTTACTTCCCCCCCCCCCGCCGCCCCCCCTAGCTTCCCTTGTCAAGCGCAAAACGGGCACCATCAAAACAACGGGACACTAGAAAACGGTTTGGATGCGCAATGATGTGCTTTTTGTGGATTTCACCTGGTCTTCCTCTTGGTCCTTTTTTAGTTTTCTTTTAGTATTCTTTTAATATCCTATAGGGGTGCATTCACACATTCGCCACTTCCAACCCCGTTTTCTAGAGACACAGATCGGCCGCAGCTGGGCCTTGCTCAGGCCGCAGCTACTTCTACAACACCAACCGCCGAGAGTCGCTTTGGAAGCATCCGCTCGACCAGGATCGGAGAGCGATCACGCGATTTGCGGCCGATGGTTTCTTCAATCGCCGTAGGTTGATTATAGTAGTTGCATATGTGTGTGTGGCATGTGTCGATCACTCTTGGATCGTTCGCTCTGGCAAGCTCCGTTATGTTACTCTTTGCGTGTTTGTGTGTGTGTGTGTCTTTTGCGATGTTGTTGCGATTCTTAATTCGTATGTTTGTACTTACGCATGCTTTCGCTTGTGTGTGTGTGTCTGAATGTGTCCCTTGCCAGTGTTTCTGTAGAGGGGCAGGTTATGCATAGGAGTGGCCCTCCTGCGGATTAATTAGCAGAGCAACTCCGTTAATTATATTTGGAGGCATCTCCTTTGAGTGACCCCTTTGACGTTCCTTCCGACAATTTATGGGATGGTAGGGACTAGTTCCACTTCTGAATGAAGCAGCGACTGGGAAAACTTCCATCACAAGTCTTCTTCTTCCCACGGCCACTGAGATGCAAATGTTTTTTTTTTTTTTTTTGAGAACTGGCACTACTAAAAGTCTAGGTCACATTTTGGATGCTCCTTGCGGATTTCACACCTCTTCCGTCCTGTGTCGGTGGTTTTGTTTCTCAGGTTCGACACATACGCCTCCAAAGCTCCCAGTTCAGCGGCACTCTTTGTGTTCGATGCGTTAGCCGCTTCTTTCGTGGCTGACACTCCCCCCTCCCCAAACAGAACGAGAGAGAGAGAGAGAGAGCGATGTATCTATATGTATCTATATGTATATATGCATATATGTATATATATATACGTGTATATATATATATATATATATCAATTACAAGTACAACAAGGCACGAAGCAGTGGAACATAATATGTTTCCAAGGAGTCGCTGCTTGCAACATGGCAAATCCTTCGTGGCTATCATCTCTCCACGCACACTACCGGCGAACCGGAGGAGTTTGTGGAGATTGCCAACTACTGGAGGCCGTGGACCGGCCGCCAAATTTGCTCTCTCTTTTCTGGCATTAAATGGCACAAGGGGATGGATCCGTTGAGCTCCAGCCCCCAGAACACCCAGCCTTGGCTTTGACCAACATCTGAAACGAGACAGCTGTGCCTTTTCAGGGTCACCTTTTTCAGTTTTGAAGCGCCAAAAGGAAAATCACCAATGCTTGGAACCCCCCCTTTGGTTTGACACCATGGAAATACTCGAAGCTGGGGGCCCCGAAAGTTTGAACATTGGGTTCCTGCAGGCTTGGAGATCCTTAGGCTTCCCTTGTGGTTCCGCAGTTCCAGTTGTTCTTTTCTAGGGGTGATGTTTGCATTGGTATGGCTCACTTCCCGAGTTCCTGGACTTACCTGTTGGTTTGGATCATTTTGGTGCCCAGCAAAGCGTTCAGACGTTTTTTGGGACGATCCACTCGGGAAGTGAGATCGGATGCATCCTGGCCGGGTTGCAGGACTTCCGCCGAGGCTGGCGGCTGGCTGATTTTTGGGCCCAACGGGTGCCTTCGACAATTCAGGCACCTGGAAACCCTCGCGGATGAATGGCCCCCCTAGCCCTTTGCCGCTGTCGAACGACACCAAAAGACAGAAATCCAAGGTGTGTCCTTGGGGTCTGGTCAAATAGTCCCAAGCTTCTTAGACTACAATTCTAGTGGAAACATGTATGGAGCAGCCCCCAAACAGCAATTGATCTTGGCTCCCTCTTGGAGGTTGGGAAACTAGTTGTTGCAACCATCAAGTTGGATTCGGCCAAACGGGGCCCTGATATTGCCAGGATAACTAAGTCTGCCCTTTTCCCCTTTTGGATTTCGTGAACTTTGCTAAGCAGCAACAAGTTCTCTTTGTGTGGCCTAGTCTGGCATAGCCGGTGCTCTTAGGGCCCCCCCAACCGACCAATGTCCACTTTTTCGCATCGATTCGGAACTGCTTCGCAACACATCCGCAGACGCGCTTTGAAAGCTGGGGGCTTCTGGGACATCGACGAGGAGCTTGCCAGAGACTCAGTGGGAAGTTTGTTTCTGTGGTCAATGTTTGTGGAGAAAGCCGGAGCACGAAACATGTGAACCAACACTGAATTGACCAAAATGGACCTTGCGATGTTTGTTAACTTCGGATTGATCAGGTTCCTCTTTTTTTTTTTTTGCATATCACCTGTATTTAAAGTGAGCTTCTTCTAGTGGGGTTTATGTTTTCAGGGGAAGCCCAGCGAACACCAACCTTGGATTCATCCGGAGGACCATACCCATTCCAGGAGTCCCCTAAACATGAATTATCACGAAAGCTAGCTTTAGCTAGCTGAAGTTTCTCCTTGCGTAAGCAAGGTAAGGGGCTCAACTGCCGAAAGATTGTTTTTTTCAATTATTTGAGCCGAAAATATTGAAAAAAACCATTATTTAGACCCCCCCCCCCCTCCCCCCCCCCCATCTCAGGCTCGATTCCTCCTTGGTCCACCCCTCCCCCCGGGCAGTGGCTCAGTGTTTCAGCAGTCTCGGTTTGCCCCGTTTTGGACTTGGTGCTACGAACTTTTACATGTTCCACCGATTCAGCTTGTTCATTTGAGACCTCAGTCTTCTCAGCAAACCACCTCGCAAGAATCTTTGCACACGCAGCATGCAGAACCCAGAGGTGCTTTAAGACAGCTTCTGACGCCTCTCGTTGTTTTCATTTTTCAAGGTTTGCCACGCCACCATGTGCGTTTGCGTGTCGCATCCTACGAATCTTGCCGGGCCTCTCGTTGTACACAAGCTACCTATGAATCCACCCTGTCACCGACCCATCTCATGCAACAACTGCTAGCTTTCGTTCACTCGCTCCTCAAGTTTCCGCAGCAAAAGGTTCAATTTCTCCAGGACTGATAGCCCTGCGAATCTGTTTGGGGCGTGTCTCCCCACTACACTCCCCCAAACTAACATGGAAGCTCCCAGGACCCCTTGGGCAGACTTGGTTCCATTTGCAAAGGCCCCTCTAGGAGCTTCCATGTTAGCCTGTAAAGATGGTGAGCCCCCGCAAGGGTTGCAGGGTCCAGACTTTGTGCCTCTGTCCAGTGCCGCCTTCGGTTGGTCTGCCATCAGTTTGGTTGGAATACACTCACTTCCCGAGTTCTTGGACTTTGGTCACTTTTTTGGTTTGTGGACTTTTGTTTGGCAATCTACTCAAAGAGATGAACAAATCCTGCGGAGTGTGATTCGAGCACAGCGCCATGTTCATGTTCTTTTCCTCAAGCAGCAACTCTGATTCCAACAGAAAGTGTTTGCCTTTGGTTCCCCTTGATACAGGGATCATCTTTCCGCCCTGCTGTTCGAGTCAAACGAGGCTGAGATGGAGGAGAAGATCAGAGCCAATCTGCCCATGGCTCAGAAAGCTGCCTGGTGGCTTTTGCGGTCCATGGAGAAGGCTTCTACTTATGCTGATTGGGTCCATTCAAGTTGGGTAGTTTGTTCTTACAATTTAGACAGTCATTTTGACGATGTCATGTAAATTGGCGCAAGTACAGGTACAATGCCTGCGGGTTTACTGGGGTTCCTAAGCACTCAGCTACCTTGAAGACGCTCTAAGAGTGTGGGCGTTGTCGCCCCGTGATGTGAGGATTTCCCTAGGTGAAGGGAAAATATGAAGCAGAAGCCCCAAGCTTCGCAATCTTCGGGCAACCGCAACCACACCACCGCCCAAACCCACCGATCTGGGAAAAACAAACAATCACAGGAGGTTCCCCTACTAACATAGACTACCTGCAGAAAAAATGGCACCCTTACTCTAACCTCTCTACTCGAGGACCTAGAGGGTGAATGTCAGTTACTTCCCTCATCTTGGGGGAGACAGCTGGCTTTTAAAAATAATGGTTGGAATGAACCCAAGAGAAAAATGTCTAGATCCGCTTGGCCAAGCAAAGCGAAGCAAGGGCCGACTGGATGGAGCTCTACGACGAGACAGGACACAAGCTCTGACCTTAGAGCGGGAATTGGGGCTTTGGCGCCCAAAGCCTTTCGTTTTTTTGGGTGTCCCCTTGTTTATAATTCCAAGGGAAAACCAAAAGGACATCAAAAGCCATTTTGGAGGTCCCTCCCCCCCAAAAAAGAAGAAGAAAAAGAAGCAGGACTTTGCACTTTGAGGCCGGTCCAAAGTTTGGGAGAATCAACGCCATATAGTTGCGGGCAGAGCTGCAGGTTTGCCTTTCCCGCTTTTCCATCCCTGCGTTGGGAAATGGCAAAAGCTAACCCTTCAAAACAGGCGTGGAAGAGCACACACACACGGCTTGGGAAGGTATCCCTTCATTCCCAGCTCCTTTTGGGCAAGTGAGAGGATTGAAGCCTAGAACGTGTTTGCTGCAGCACTGTGCACTGGGTCCGAGCTGGATGGCTGTTTGCTTGGTTGGTTGGTTTTCACTTTTTGGGGTGGTCGGGTTGAGCTGGCCGGTTGGGTGGCTCCAAATCCCCTTCCTGCCGCACAGGTTCTACTTCAACAGGAAGACGGAGGAGAGCCTTTTCGATGACCCTCGGCACACCACCTACCACAGTCTCTATACCCGGATCAGGCCAGCATGTTTTGAGTAGCAGGGTTGCTTCTGTCGTTCAGTGGCGTTCCTTTTCTTTGCTTGTGGGTTCCTTACTCAAAGGGATCAACCCCACAAGAGCCTTATTGGCCTAATTTGGATGGTTGGGGGGCTTTGCACATTGTCGCACTGTGCTTTCGGCCGGAGACTTGTATGATTCAAAATGCTGAACACAAGCTACACCCAGCCGCATCATTTCCAGCGGCATTTCCGCGGTTCCCAAAGACGGAGATGATTCACCAACAGGCTTTTGAAGGAAAATGAACAACCCTGACCGGTGCAACTAGAGGTCTCCCATCACAAAGCTTCATATAGCCCTATGAGCCCAATGAATCAGCTTCTTGCCAGGTTTTTCAGCTTCATCTGTTTGCCCGCTTGAATGCCCTTTCTGGCTTTCGTTTTCCCTTTCGACCGGGCCCACTCGTCAAGTATGGCCAAGTCCCGGATACGCTTCGAGCCAGGTTCGTGAACATGATGAAGGAAAAGCTGCCGTTGCTTGCCCTGGCGCCCCGTGCTACAGCCGCGGGCCCGAATTGTTGCATGTTTTGCGAGTGGCCCCGGTGACTCCTTGGGTTTTCGGAACCCGTACTCAGTTGTTCAAAGCCAACCTTGTGACCTTTTGAGTTTCCCGTTTTGGTCTATGTTTAGTAGAGGTCCCAAAAGGTGAACCTTCTATTTCCAGGTCCTTTGGGCAAGTGAGCGTACGACAAACCCCGGAGAGATTCGGGGGTCCAATTTGAAAGGGGGTCCGGATCACTTTCTTGTTTTGGAGGGGGGGGCAACCTTGCGTTGGTGGCGCTGGGAGACAATTTTCCTGCAAACAGGGGCTTTCTGGTGTTGGGAGGCTTTGTAGGGATCTCGGCAAAAAACACATGGGCAGTCCGCCCCAATTGGGCAGAGCTACGCCCAAGCCCCGAGACCCTAAGCCAGGTTGGGGTGCGGAAAAAGCGAGCACCCGCCACTGGGGTTGACCATTCCCAGTGATAAGCCTTGGATCTGCTTTTGTTTTTTGGGGGTGCGCTCAGCAACTGGGTTGCACCGTGCAAGTTGATAACACTCTTTGCGTGTCTCAGGTGATAAAAAACAAAGCTGGAGAGGTTGTGCCTACTCCAATACTCTACTGTATTTCCTGTTTTGATCATAACAAACAGAAAAACACATCGTAGGTGTTGGGACGATGTTTTTTCTTCCTTGGCGACGCGCAAGAAGCCCCATGGCACGTCGACCTTCGAACAAGGTGATGCTAAAGTGGGATTTAAACAGAATGTGGGTGACGTTAAAATGGGCTCAAACAAATGGGTTGATTCCGGGTGCTATACACAATATTGCCCTCTGGTGCAAGTTGGAACCCGTCTAAGCGGGTCCGCTGAGAAACGTAGTTGGAACCCTGAGGCCAAGGGCAAATATCCTTCAGGTTCTACACACCCAATTTACTGCGAACCCAGACTGACGGACAGACCGACTGACTGCCTGAACCACGTCGCTGACTCCCGCTTCCATTTGCTTAAGAACATTTTGAATTTTCCCTTGCAGGTTTTGACGGAAATCTATCACTACTGGACATATTTTTTTATTTTTCCGGGGGGCTTAGAAGCAAATGGAAGCCGGAACAGAGGTCTTGCCCCGGCCATGGCATCCGAGGATCCCATCATTAATCCTTCCGAGCTCGAGCGGCAGCAGAAGGACCCTGCTGCGTTGCTTCGAATCCCACTGGCGGGGACTTCTTGGACCGCTCTTGAATTGACATATTCACGGTGCACTAAATACGGCTCATCATTAACACATGTATGGCTTGTTGGGGGCTGCTTTGGCATAATCTAAGATTTGAAGGTTCGCTTCAGGTCACCCTGATTTTGAACCCCCGGCGTTTGTCCAGTCGGGGGAGGTTGAAATATGAACCACTTTCAGTTGGGACAGCAGCTGAGGTCGTTTTGCCCCCCAGGTGCCTGAATCTTACATGCCACAGAAGACCAAATAGAGGATACGATGCAAGCCTTCTTTGACATAATCGGCCTCAGAGATTGTTGGGGGGCTTCATGACCTCGCTCCCTGAGTTCCTGGACTTCAGCCCTGGGAAGACACGTTTACTTGCAAACAGCAAGTTCAGACTTGGTTTGGCCAACCCACTTAGAAAGTGAGAAAGCCTGAATTGGCCTTATTTGGCCGAAGGCTTGGTAAGCCCTCATCAAGCTTTTAGCCAGTGTTTCAAAGGATGATGGTTTTCCCAGCTTTTTGGCTTCACCCTCCCGACCATCTAGCAACGAGCCAGCGTTACGAATCTTGACCCCCCGGATGGTTGATTGACAGGGGCGTTCGGTTCAAGAAGACTTCCAGATCACCGTTGGTAGACGCACCCCCGATTATCTCCCTTAATCCGTAGGTTTGGTAACCCGGGGTCAGGGTGGTTGGGCCAACACAGATTTGACGTTTCGGTTTTTCTCGCGACCGAAGAAGTACATACCGGCTCCTTGACCTACCTGCGTGTCTCACAAGCGGGTGGTCCTTCCAAGTGGTTGGGCTTCCTTTTTGCTCTTAGGAGGTTGAGCTCCTTATTTGGTAGCCCAAAGCGCACTTCCCGAGTTCCTGGACTTACCCTTGGTTACCATTTTAGTGGCCAAGACCAAATTGTTGTCCAAAAACGGGGGAGCCAGCCTTCTGGAGCAACCGATCGGAGTTCTGGTTAGGGACGATGGTTGCTCAGACAGTGTTTTGGCCCATCCACTCGGGAAGTGAGTTCCTAGGGCCTGGCAGAACGGCGACACATTCAGGAGGCAGAGGCAAAAGCTAGAAGAGCCGTGACCCGAGTGCAGGCGCGAGCGGGCTGCCTGGCGGCCATGGGTAAGCTTCCTTTTGGCCCCCACTTTGCAGGCGAAACGAACGTAGTGGCCCTTTGGCCCTTTGGGGTTTCATGGGATTTGTGTTTAAAATAGAAGGATTTTAGAAGAACGCTTTTTTAAAATATAAGTGTATATATATATATATATACAAACTCTTTTTCCCTTTTGCCAGGGGCAAACAGAGGGCTTTGGGCGTGGCAAAGACTTTTGGCTCGACTAGTGTGGGTTGTCCCCTTTCGGAATCTTTCGGGCCAATGAAACCAGGTTCCCATGCACATTTGGAGACGAAGCCTTCGGGTATTTGAGCATGGGCGCTATAACATGGGTCCTTGTAATGTTGTTTTTTTTTGTCACATTCAATGAGGTTTCATGTGCATTTAATGAGGTGGGGGCAATGCTTGGGTGGAACATGCTTGGGTGGTGCACACTTTGAGAGCGGGCAGGTTGGCTCTGCCATGTTTTGCGGAACCACTTAGTAAAGCAGGCTTATTGGCCAGCACTGCCAGATTTGTACTCACCAAGTTGCCAAGCAAGCACGCACGTGGCTGGTTGATGTCGCAAGCCACTTTGCTTTTCCGTGCCTGACACGTACCCGGAGTGTGCGACTTGGAATGCATTAACCCATGCTATTCAGATATGGTGCACACGTTGAGTGGGTTTTTTCCATCGTAGGATCCACATTCCCCACACTTGGGCCTGGTGAATCCCTGGATTGGACTGGGTACCCTTTTGGGCCGAATTCAATGAGCAACTAGCAGACCTGTTGACCTGTAAATGAGGTTCTCTGCTTTGAATTGAGCCCTATGGTTAGTCAACCAACTTAAGCTGCATGTAGCACTTCATGAAGTGGATTCCCTGCATATTGCAACGTTGCTAGCATGTCATCGGATTCGAAACTCCCTTCCGGAACAAACACTTTTTTCCCAAAAGACAAGGCCGCAAATTCAGACGGGAAGTGTGGATCCCATGTTCTAGTGGGTGAATTTCGGCAGGGCACGGCATATGCTTCTCTAGATGACTCAATATCTTTGTGGAGCATGTGGCATGCGGGATCATGGTTGTGGACAATTGGGGTTTTCGGACTTCGGCCTGAGGCATATTCGCACAAACGGAGATTGACAAAGCAGTTAGAGGGATGGGAGTCTCACTTTGGTATCACAGAGCGTGTTATTTGCCAGGCCTATATGCATGAGAAGGTTCTCTATTGTTTACCTGGGCTCATACCACATGAATGGTGGCGTTTGATTCGAATGGGAGGCCAAAAGGGATGCAGTGGCGCTATTTTGTTTTACACCTCATTCTTCACCACCCAGCCACTGGTGGTTTCCTTTATTCGGGAATCCCCAAACGGCTCATTCCCACATTCGCTACTTATCGCACAAGCAAGTTACCCCCCCCCCCCCCCCACCCCCCCCAACGTTCGGTGCTTGCCTTTCCATTCGGGAAAAGGACTCAGACGTTCAGATTGCAGCTTTGGATCTAATTGAACTAGCGGGCAATTGCTGTAGATATCCCACGTAGAACAGCTACTGAGTGCTTTTGCAGTTCTCGGCTGGCTTGCGGGAGGATATAGCTTGAAGCATGCCTCTGCCACCCTGCTGTAATTCATCGCATGACCAGAGGACAAGCATTTGTGTCATGTAGCTGCTGCGATCAGAGCGTTTGTGTTCATTTGGGGAGAGGGGTACCTTTAGACAAAGGGGCTGTATCCTTAAAAGGTTGCACGCCCCCGCCCCATCGTCTCAATTGTTGAGTTGGTGGAGTTTAAACACAATTTGGGAAGATAATTCTGGGTGGTAGAAGTCTACTCAGGGAGTGAATGGTGTAAGTTGGTGAGTATTAGGGGCTAATGGGCACCCAGGATAAGTAATGAATCAACCCCTTGTTGAACATAGGGGAGTTGTTTCATTTTAGAGGGGGTTCGGATCGCTGTTTTGAGGATTCCCACCAACAAATCCGCTAGGTTGATGAGTCAGAGGTTAGTGCACATGATTGCTATGCGCCAGGTTGATTCATCCGAGCATTAAGAAGCGTTCATACCCAGTATCTTCCCATCCCAGCTGGCTCTAAGCTCAGTATTCGACCTGCACGCCACGCCACACGCCAGGCTGCAGTGCGGGTAATGCTGGCGAGGCCCGACGCCCGGCGCTATGGACGAAAGCCCACGCCGATCGGCAGTTGGGATGAAGCAAGGGGGCAAACCACATCACTAGTGTCCAGGCTCAGGCAAAACTGGGCCTTGGGGCAAAGTTGGCTTTACTCTGCGATTCTTCGGCCAATGGGCACTTTCGACCAACACCTTTGATATCCCAGCGGGATATGGCTTGTTTACCTTCATGCTGCAACTCCTAGCAGAAAATGAAGCTTTGGCAAGCCTATGGCATTGTCCTTACCTGCTAGGGCTAACAATGAATGAAGTATATAGAACACTTGCAGCAGTTTTGATAGCTATTGCAGGAGTCAAGGGTAGCCCTGCAAGCAGCATGATGTGATCCGACGGTGGAACCATCCACACCCCCCCATGAATCAATTTTCCAACCTGCCAGGCACAAAGCACGGCAGCTTTCAGCAAAGCGATGCCGGGCGGCTGAGCGAAGGAGGTGGCCAAGGGAGCAGGGTTTGCCCCTTAGATCGCCTGTCTCAACATGGACGGGGATCTCCTTTGGATGGTTTCACATGGTACCCAAAGGAAGCCACGAGAAACACCCCCTTCTTGCGAGAAGCATGGAACGATCGGCCGGGCCTCGTTCGATTTTCCACATGTTGGTCGAGTTCCAACGTGTGTGTTTCCTCTTGGTGGGTTTTCCTTCAAATCAACCGAGATCGCCTTTTCCACCACTGGTCCTGGATAAGATCTTGTCAAGGTGTTCCGGCAGAGTTGAAAGAACATGCCCCGGAAATGAGCCCCCTTTTGAAAAGCCGGCAAAAGAAACGGAAACCAATTCGAAGGGTTCAATGAGGACCGGTCCCCTAGAAATTGGACATGGACAATGGTTGCCTTAAGCCTTAAGGCGGCGAAAGGAAGGAAGACAGGAACCATCGCGTTGGCCATGGTTTGAGCTGCCCTCGGCCAAGGCTTGAATCGCGTGCCTCCGAGCCTCAAAGGGCCCGGCTCTCAGTGACCTTACCGCTTTCGCTACGCAAGCGACCTGGGACTGACCTGGGGTCAACATGGGCCCGAGTGGTGGTGCTGTTGCATCAAGGGGGCGGGGGCGAGGAAACCAAGCATTTCCGGGTCCGCAACCGATGTCTCCCTGGCAATATTGCTACGATTGCTACGTTTTGACTTGGTCTCCGGTATCACTGTCTATTCCTTCATGTTGACCAAACATGTGGCAGAATGCGAATTCGACATATTGATGTTGGTATGCTTTGGGGTTTGAAAAAGCTGTTGTTTTCTTCTGTGATTGCCAAGGGGCTGGACAATGGCCCCGCCAATCCCAATAGCGCCTAGTAAGGTCTATTGGGGTCCATTGTGCGGCCCGGGGGGCCCTTGACAACCAGAAGAAATATGATTGCCAGAATCAAACTTCTTTATTTGGGCATAAGCTGAGGTAGCCCTTTGCGCCGGACTGTGTTTTTTCTGGAGTTAATGCCTGGTTCTTCTTTTTTGGAGGGTGTTGAGAAGGAAGCACCAAAGCACAGGTGGCCGTTTATGGCCACCCACTGGTGGAAAACAAACCTTAGGGTCTCATGTTAGCTTCCCAGAACTGGGTGGGCTCATGGCTCATGAGTACTGGGAGATGACCAGACCGAAGAGCATCTTCTCTGCGCTACTCGACCAGGATCAAAATTTGGATTGCGTTTTGAGCGAGCACCGCAGCCCACGGGAAACCCCGAAAAAACCTCTTGATTTTCAGTTCGGGGTGGGGAAGCCCGCGGCTTCTGAGAGGAAGCTGCGCCTGACCGTGCGCACAGCGGAGCACGGAACCCATGTCAAGGAGTGCGTCGGGGGCCTCAATGCTTGGGCCGGATCACCGGTGCAGAGGGCGACACCCTCTGAATACCTTTGGTGCAACCCCCAAAAAGTATTCCCATTTTTCAAGGGTCGCGAAGCAACTATCAAATGACCCAGAATTGCGTAATTTCGCTGGATAGTTTTTTTTTCTTTCGAGGGGGGGGGGGGGGGGAAATCCGGGTTTTCCTCGTTTTTGTGGGCATTTGTTCAACCCAACAGGGGTATCCTCAAAACACACCCAAATGTGTTGGCCCCAAATATCGTGACACCAACGCCTGCAACTGGGGCCCTGGGCAAAAGAAAGGCAGGGCAGCCCGCTGTTTCGTGGCTCTCCTGTTGCCTGCAGGTTCTAGGCATGGAAGCCTCCTACAAAACGTTCCTTTTGTACGGCTTGTCAAAACGGCTCCAAGCCTCAATTCTTGGTGGTTCTCAGCCATGCCCTTGGGTGGGTTTCCCATTTGACCCGCTAAAAGCTAAGCTGTTTGCAGGACTGAGGACAGCCCGGAATTGTGTTGGTTTCCTTGGCGGACTCTATGAGGTTCTGGACTATTTAAGCTGTTTCGCGCCATGTTAGCGGCAAACGAACATTCTGGACTTGTTGGCACAAAACTGCCCACTCAGGAAGTGAAGGTGACTCCCCTTTGCCATTTAATTTTTAATCTGATGCTGCTCAGTATTGATGTGTGTTTTCCTTCCGTTGATTCTGTTCCGCTCACGCAGTCTACAAGCATGACAGGGGCTGGCAAGGCAGAAATCCGCACTGCGCGGCCCCCGGCCAATCTCATAATCAACCCGCGTGGCTGGGTGTGTTGCTTATGTATTGGGATGGAGTTGGGCGGGTCTCAGGTAATGCTGCAGGTTGCGGTGGCAACCGTGAACCAGGCATGTCATGCGTTCAACCAGGTTGCCATTTGACCTTGAAACCCTTTTGACCTTGTGATGTGTTCATGTTGGTTCATTTATCGTGGGCCCAAATGGTTGTATGACCTTCTACTTTTGGGTTCTTTGGTTTTTAAAAAGAGTGCCATGCTTTTGGTAGCTTGGCATACGAGATTTGGCACTCATATTCACATGGGCGTGACGGCCTGAGGATCCTCAGTGTTTGTGCCCATGTTTGGAAGTGGGACAAGCTTGGGAACTTATTTCAGGTGACCCGCAATGGGTGGTGTAGATGGTGGTTGTACCTGGCTCTTAGGGGGTAAATGGGAAACCACGCCCCTAAGCTTCAAGCCACTAGTTAGAGGCAAGCCGTTTACTTCAACCAAGAAACCTGCTCATGAATCAAGTCGCTCAACGGCCGCTCCGCTTTGGATTTTCGGCTCCAGAGAGCCAATCAAGTGAAAGCAAAAGGGGAGAGGACGTGCTTGCCAGTTGCAAGCACTCAGTAGTTCGCCATGAATTCCGAGGGAGTCACGGTTTCTGGAGCTGAGGAGTGCTTTGGACATGAATTACTTTGGGATGGGTTTGCCCTTGTCCTGGCACAGTAACCATATTTGGCCAGACATGTCGATAAGGGGTACCTGAGTCCAACGTCATCCAACCCGATATTGGGGTGTTGTATGGGGGTAACGTCAGGGTCCAAGTTGGGTGCCTGTCACTTAACATCTCAATTCCCATTTCTAGTTTTACGCTGTGGGAAGGGAAGATTTGTTTGGTAAGCCAAAACTTGCTGGTTCTCAGCAGGGAATGAGGAATGGAATGACCCCAATAAATGCCATCTCCTATGGTTTCCTTTAAAGGAGTGCCTGGGTTCATTCCTAAAACCCGGGTGTCAAGTGGCACTCTTTCATTTTTTATTTGGCGGGGTCCGGGATAGAATGGAACCAACCCCAAAAGAACGTGTCACTCCACAGATCTCCCGGAGATCGCCAGGAAACTCAGGTGGCTAAACCTGGAAACTGAAGGCAAGGCTGAGCCGAGCCTTTGATCTCTCAACTCGTTCCAACTGCGTGATATCAGTGATATTCCAAAAGGGGTTGCAGAGGAAAATCAGCAATCCAGGCCTGGGAAGTGTCGCTGTTTCGGGCGCTGGCGTTGCCTAAAACTTTTGCTTGGGCGAAGGGCCCACTGGATTGCCACTGGGTTTGGGCAAGCCTCGGAATTGCCTCGTATTTGGCTCGGTCGCAACCTCGAAACGTCTTTCGCGTCTTTGGCTCCCACTCGGTTAAACTGTTGGTGTTAATTTTGTTCTGGGCATTTCATCCAGCTAACAGACAGCTAAGTCCGGCCCAGTGAGACGGTCCAAGAAGTGCCCACATGCTGCTCAGGTATCCGGTCTTCGAGTCATTCGATGACTATGATCTGGATGAGAACCTCTTGCGAGGCCCGCGGGAGACGCCAGTTGCCAGTCCTGAAAAGTGGTTTCTTTTCCAGTAATGCATAAATGCACCCAAACAAATTGCATACGTTTGGCCCAAATGTATGCCAAAAATAGCGTACATTCAGTCCGACAATCACGCCAAGTCAAGCCCAATCAAGCCCAATCAAGCCCAATCACGGCAGCCCGGGCTTGAAAAGCCCCTGCTTGGATGTTCAATCTACTTAGCGGGTGATATCATGGGTCTGGTTCCAAGGTAGTTTGTACTGCATCCTGGGGTTTTATCCTTTAAAACCATCTCCAACCTGAAGGGAAACTATCCTCCAAATGGAGGCCCTTTTGAAAGCTCACTTTTTGGCAAACGACGGTCAATCACCATAGCGATTGTTCGATTTGCAAATCAACGTGTCTTGCTCTGCGTGTCCCCAGCCAGGTCTCCGTTTTACGTTCCGCCTGGTCAGAACCCTTGTGATCTAAGTGAAACATGCGTTTTCTTTCTGGCTTGGAAATGATGAAACAGCACTCAGCACCTGGCTAAGCTTGTCCAAGCTGGCCTCGAATCTCAGGTTTGTAGAGATGGGCGCCAAAATCTGGCGGTGTCCGCTGTGAACATGTGGAACATGCACGACTTGCCGTGACAAACCCGGGCGCGTGCGAGAGATTGGCACGCAGTGCCAGCTTTCGATCCTGCCAATTTTCGGCGAGGAAGTTGCCAAGCAAACGCTTGGCGGGTTTGAACGAAATAAGCCATTTAAATTTAGAGATCATATCCCCACATGTGTCAACTAGTTGCGGCGTGGGGGCGCAGGGGCCGCGAAGAAACAACGTTTGTTGCTATATGTGGGCGGTTCTTGCGGGAGTCGTAACTTTTGTACGGTCCATCCAGCAACTCCCGTTCCGAAGATCGCAGACATTTAACTAAATCGCCTGATTTTTTGGACTTTCCAAACGACACCAAATCTAGCGTCCACTTGGATATGGATTCTCCCCCTCCCCCCATAAACCAGCTGCGCCCCGAGAGGCATACGAACTTGAGTGAAGTGAGGTGACACACACACACACACATATGCACCTCCGTACACGACTGGAGAGAGGGCGGACCGAAAGCTGGCACTTCTTGCCACAAGTGCCGACGCTGCCTTTTTACGAGCCTTCTTTGAGACTATGTGCGGCGCCTCGCCTCGCCTAGGCAAGGTGAGGCGAGGCGACGCGAGGCGAGGCGAGGCAAGGTGAGGCGAGGTGAAACGAGTGGCGAAGCAAAAGACCGCAGGCATCTACTCCTACGGTTTTGAGAAGCCTTCGGCCATCCAGCAGCGCGGCATCAAGCCCATCCTGGACGGCCGCGACACCATCGGCCAGGCGCAGTCAGGCGCACGGAACGGAGCAGGGAACCCAGGAGCCCTCACAGGATAAGGCTGTAATTATGTGCCGCTCAACTGGTGGTTTTCATTGAATTTCCCACTAACACCAACAACAAAAACAGTTTCCAACAAATACACCCCCATAAGTGGCAATCACCTGCTTTACAGAGGAAGCCTCCAAAACAGCCTGAAAAGGCCAGGAACAAATTAGGTCAGGTATAGAAACAGATATGCAGGAATAATTGGTACTTCCACGATGGGACATTGCCAAGCAACTGTCGTAGATCTAAGAATCAGCGGCGGAGTGATTGCTTCTGGATTCCCGCTGGTGATCAAACGAAAGCCAACGGCAATAAGGTTGGTGGCTACTTCCGTGGACATGGCATTTTGGTTGTCATCTCAATTTGCAGGGGAGTACTGGATGATTCGGGCCAGAGTTGGACAATCCGCTTGTATAGAGGATGTTTCCTCTAAGCAACCAACCAGGGTGTAACAAGGGGAATGGATTCGTGAGGAACCCTGTGCCACCCGCAATCGAACGTTCAATCCACATGGTAGGTTCCCGCCTACAAGCAGGGGTTGGTTCCTGTATAACCTGATTACATGCCACTAAGTAGGTTCCCCATTTCCACCAGGAGCACTGGGCAACTGGCACTGGGTGCGCTATAACCTCCAAACCACATGATCTTCCATTTGCTGAACTGAATATTCGGTTTCTTTTCCATCTTGTTGGTTTTAAAGCGGATCAATTTTACTACTGGACACACATTTTCTCCAATTTTTCCAGGCGCTTCCAGTGGCAAAGGGAACGTCTGCAACCCCCCCCCCCCACTGGGTCTCGGGGCGCAGGCACCGGGAAGACGGCGACCTTCGTGATCGGCGCGCTGCAGCGCATCGACTACTCCATGGCGCGGTGCCAGGCGTTGATGCTGGCGCCCACTCGCGCGCCCCGGCCGGGAGAGTGGAGAGGTGCCAGGGGCCATGGATCTAGGCGCCCCCACATAGGGGTGGGGGGGGGGGTGGGGTAGTATTAATCGGGGGGGGGGGGGGTACTTAGGTGCCCTCACATAAAAGGGGGAGGTACTATTAATAGGGGGCGGGTGCTTATAGTACTTTTTGCAGAAAAGCGTCTGAATCTCCACTATGGGGACACCCTCCGTTTAATCAAACAAAACGTTAGCAATCTGGGGTCAACGCCCAAACCAGGTGCCCCTGAGTATTTTCCTGGTAGATGTCCCCACCTTCCAATGGGTCCAGCCCCCCACAGGTACTCTGAGGGGTCCCTACCGTTTTGCGCATCAGACTTGATAG